TTAGCCGCGATTAAATATTGATGCAAGAACAGATATCCAGCCGTCGAGAGCGGTTCTCCCGTTCGCGGAATCGCCTCGCGCGAGAATCTAGGGCGGTAATTTCCAATTTACGCTTACATATGCAGCGCACCGACTTCCTTTTTTTTCCTCCGTTATCCGCGGAGATTATCTGTGTGCGCGTTCGAACGACACGGTGGAAATAATTCACCGGCGGCGAGCGTGCGTTGCGTACAATTTATAGATAAATAACGAGGCTCTCTCGCGAGAGACAGAAAGAGAGGGGGAAGGGAGGAACACGGAGGCGCGTGGAGTCGCGTCGACGCGCGAGGCGACGCCGGTGAATCGCGATTCCTAACGGACGCGTTGTTAATTTGGCCCTCGCCGGTGCGTGTCCATTATTGTGCAAATTGTCGACGAGGCAGATTGCGCGAACGCCTGACAATGGGGGATCGTGGCTACGCGCGCGAGTCTACGCGCCGGTCTCTACGGGGCGTTAAACCACCCCATCGTTAGCGTGACGAATCAACCGGAAATTCCAGCTTTCGTCGCTTCCGTATTCACTCGGCGGCCTCGAGAGACGATGCGACGATATAAAAGGAAGAAGCGTTGACCAAGTCGTTGCCGAAGGAATTAGCCAAGGCGAGATAATGCCGAGCGACGCCTAGCAGATCCCTCCTGTCGGTTCGATTGTCATGAAAATATTTTATTTTATTCCGGGAAAAAAGGGGGACGCGACAGTCTCCGCAGTGTCGCAGCCTGTCTGTTTCCAGATAATTAGTGATCGACGGCAGCCGAGATCCTATAAAGAATTACACAGCAGCTGAAGCTGCTATGTAAATCCTTAAAGGTCCACTTATTCTTTTCCTATAATTGCCCCATCTATACTTTCCCTGCGTCTTCCTACAATCCTTTTATATTCAGATGTATGCGCACGTTTCGTCACGCTAGTCTATAAGAGAAAAAAGCTAATATAATAGCTCCGTCGAAAATCATGTACGAGCGGATATTGACGAAGGTCCTCTCGATCCGCACATTTACGCTTTAATACGGTCTATTACTGACGGTGATCTTATCGTTGGACAAAAGAACAGGAGACAACGTAAACTTAACGTGAGAACGATCCGATTCGCGAAATATGCGGCCGTCTTCTCCTTTCTGCATGTTGCTGGAACATTAGCTCTACAAACGTTACAATTGATTTTGTAATTTATCTCATGAACGCCTCCTTTCACGACTACGTTACTTATCGTACACATGCCGGAAAGTGATTATCCGATTTTATTTACCATCATTCGCACGTTTAACTATTCGTAAGCGAAAAAAAAAGGATTGGTCGGAATCGACGAGGGGGAGTAGAAAGGCGTAGGTAACGAGACGGGAGCGAGACGGGGAAAGATTGCCCCGAGAGGCGAGACAACCGTGAGGAGATCGCTTTCGGGATCATTAATTATCCTAGAATGCGCGAGAACGGGCAAGATATATAGAGGGAGGATGGTAGCAGCAAGGAGAGTGGAAGCAGCGCAAACGACAAATAGAAAAGAGAGCGAACGAGACGGCGGATGTCGCCACTGCAAACCGAAATTACAGTCGAAGATTAATGGCTTGACGCTTTATTACAGACATTTATGGCTGTGACTTCTAAAATCCTCGCAAAATTATCCTTGCCATCTCTCGGACTTACAGATGGGCTTGGGTACTATTGAGTTCATCGGTTTACGTTGTTTAATTTATACCTGCTTTTTTTTCCCGTAGAGCTGTATTTTACCGATGTTATTTCACGATGGTGAAGAAAAGTTTGTTTTATTGAACTCAATGGCTCTCAATTTAATTTTAAACATTGACCCACGCTTGCCTCTTGTAAATACAACAATTGCTTAATCACTTAACAGTTTGATGAAATTCTTTACCTTAACACAAGGAAAACATGGGATTGGACGAGTACCTGCAGAGTCGCTATAAATGTGAAAGCGTGACGAAACCTATGTCAATCATTATTCGTTTCTCGAAAAAAAACCTTCGAGAAAATAAATATATTCTCACGCTGGAATCCGACTACGTTTGTTCAGATTTTATTTTCCGTTTCTGATATTTCCCGTGTCGTCATTAACCGACGACCCTATAGTCTGTTGTCTCTCTCACGTCTCGGCACTTCGACGAAACCGGGACGATATTGCTCGGAGAGGAAAGGTGCAGACGAGGTGCGGCGCGCGGCGCGAGGGTAATGTACTAGCGAACCTGCCAGAGAACCAGGGATGGTGGTGGTTGATTTTTTCATCCCCATGCCCTCGACGTACACGTGTATACGAGCGCGACTGGAATTCGTTTAGCCTCCGCGGAGACGGGCAATAACGATTTAGTTTCCTGAAAACGAGTTCGCCGGCGTAATTCGTTAATGTATTCAGCATGGAACGTAGGCCTCTAAAAAGCTACGGAACGCTACGCCTTTGACGTTGATCCTTTGTGCCGTGCACGTGTATAGTCGTGAAACGCTCGCTCGAGCGTTCTCGTCACTAACACCCAATTATAGCCAATTAATCGTCCACCATTATCCAAGCATTACCGTTTGATTCACGCCGTCGACTTATTCACGGAACGCGTCTTCTCGTCTTCTGAGCGCGATTCAAAGCGACGAGTACGTTCGAGTACGCGGCGGGTACGCGCGGCATCGCAAACGTTTACATTGGCAGACCCCCGTAGTCATTAATAACCGATACGCGGAGCTTCGTTTCTGTCTCGCGTTAATTCGACGTATCGAATCGAACGACACACCGCGCTCGTTAATCTTCCGTGCCGAACCGTCACTCCCAGCGATTTATTTAAAGAAGGCGCGTCGTTTTTTTTTCTTTCCTTCTTTCCTTTTTCCCCCGGCCGGTCTTTTTCGTCGTGCGCACAGAGCAAACGCTCGGACTAAAGTTAATTAATGCGAGGAGGTACCATTGGTATGCGGGTACGGCGCGATAACGTATCGGCGCAGCTCGCGCGCGTAGTTTTGCGCGGATCTTCGCGCTTAGTGTTTGCGCCAAGCGAATCTCCTAATAGTATATCGTACTCGGTTTGCTCGCGTCGAGAAGTCCTGTTTGCGGTACTGTTAAAGATACATAATTAGGTATGAGTATTGTGATATATCTGGCATTTCCAACTCCGCCTCGTTAGCGATGTACTGTGGAAAATGAAAAAATTCCTTCGAGCTTTTCACGTAGAACGCACGTAGTGTTTTATCGTCACTTTTTGACGCGCGTTAAAGATTATTATTTAAAATGCATAGTTTTTACAATTTTCCACCTCTGCTAACTGCGACGAAAAACTGATCCTGGGGGATAGAGGGGGTGAAACGAGGTGATGGAAAAGCGGCGGTCGGATCCCCCGAGGTAATAGCGCGAAAGTTCCGACATCGTTAATCTTGCACTTCGTAGGTAGACGGATAGATAGTATGTACGTGTCGAATACGTACAGACGTACATCCGTATTGCTACATACATCGACGGAGCCACACCCCTAACAGCGGTGGTTACGATCCCCTTTACAGCTACCCCCACGGTTCGTTTAAGCATCCGCGTGTTCCCCGCGTTTAAAAAGTTCCGACAGAATTTTTAAACATTAGATAAAGAGAAAAATGTACGATCGGGAGAATTGCGTTTTCAATTTGCGCATATGAGATTTATAGTTTATATTATTTATATTGTGTTATTTATATTGTATGTCTGACAAATTTTCTATCTTTCCTAATTTAATATTTAGAGGAAAAGGTGATATTGCAGCCCCCATTTATATTTTGTACAATAATTTTGTGAGTAAATAATATTTGAAATTAAAAACTTAAAGACTGTGTTGGTCAATTGATTCTAGACTCAAAGTTATGAAATATTTATTATTTGGGACGTCATTTATAAAAATATAGCGACACTGCATAATGAATCGAAGAGAAACAAGGATGATAATGTGGCCCTCCATTAAAATAGATTTAAAAAATTAGTTTTAAAGAAATACAGTGCTTTTTTACGAATTTATATATTTATTCAAAATAAACTCTTTTAAAAGAAATAATAATAAGTATAACCGTGAATTTTGTATGTAGATATATATATAAAGTGTCGAAAAAACAGTTTCTACAAAACAAATAGACATTTTTAAATTTAACTAGAATTAATGATTTTTCAAATAACTACTTCGATATGAAAAACGAAAAAGAAGCTGCATTAAATCTATTTTAGTAAGAGGCCAAATTAACAAAATACCCTACTAATATATTACTATTATATTATATTTAATTGCATAACTTGAAATTTTGAGGGTCGTACGCGAAATATGTAAGTTTATAAGTTTACTAATTTTCCTGCGTGTATAATCTTATCTCAAACAAATGTTACAAAAATACAAAGCCGTTTCATTGGTTAGATTTTATTTTAAAATGATTCATTACTTTTGTTTGGAATAAAATTATATTTGTAAATAAATTAGCTTCGTAAATTTAATTTTGGACCATCTTATAACGATTATAATGGACAGAACGATAAGAACATAATAAAACATTATGTAGAATGGACGGATAAATATTTGTTTAAGATATGAGAAAAAAACGAATACAAATTATCTCGATAAATACGTGAGACTAATCTATATTTATAGAACTCGTAATTCTATCAGAATGAAATACGATCGCGTCTATTATATTTCGAACGCTCATATCGGAAACCTGGTCGCGTTAGTCCCTAAGATAAATCAGTAATGAAGGAGGTATTCACAGATAAAATACAACGCCCAAACAAAAATCACAATAGAAACTATTTTACTATGTATCGAAGTTATCGGTTAAGATCGAGCATATGTTATCGTAAGATTATTTCTTAATCTCAATCGCCGGTATTGAGGTTTGTGATAAATTGCTATTTATCACAAACCTCAATACGCTTTTAACACGCTAAGATAATATGAATGTTTCAACCAACGGTCGGTGATTCAGATGCGTGCTCTTACCGCTCGTACTATGTATAGTTATTTGAGGTTATTCTATAAATTGTTGAAAACATTCGAACAAATGAATGAAACGTGATGTCAATGCTGTGAAGATGGGGCGTGACGTTTTCTTCGAAAGGGGAAGTTTGGGAAAGTTACGATACGGACAATACAATAATAAGGGATCACTACGCTAGTGAATCACGTCCAAATGGTCTTGTCAATTTTATTTGCTCGAAAGGTACCTACAGTGTGAACAGTGCATGGTGAATAATAGGAACAGTTTGGCCCGATCCTGACGTTACCTGTGATGATTTCAAAATATCTACATTTCACGGTAATTTATCTACGTCACGGTTCCATTAAGACATCCCAGGTACCTGTGAGCACGAATACTTTTCACATCTTGGAAACAGCTGTTTAACCTTTTCAGCGTGCGGACTTTACGGAGCAAAATGAATTACCACTGTATCAATTTGTCAAATTACTCGGCATGACCAAAATAATACGTTGCGGGAGGAAAGCATTTAGATTGTGTTCAAAATTTCTCTCTAAATTTTATTCGTGTTTTATTCGATGCGTCGATGAAGTCCACAATTGTTGTAAAGGTTAAGACTGTTATCTTACACAAAAAGAATAAACAATCACCATTGTCTATCTATGAGATAAGAAAAAAAGTAAAAATATAAGCATATATGGTACTAACGCAGCAAAAACAATAGTGATCACGAAATTCTCGACTACTTTAGCGGCTTGGTACTTGTCGTCCCGTTCAATTGGTCGCGTGTCAGCAAGGTGTACTTATTCGGTCGAAAGCATACAAGAACACATCAACTGTGTTACATTAATTTGCCGCTTACGGCGTACGATATCTAGAACGAATGGAAAGTTGGCTCATCGTTGGACAACGATAACGCGATTTGACGTACCGAGTGATATCGAAGGCAGAAAGCAAATATGTCGTACTGCAGCGAGCTGTCACTCTCGCAAGAATATCAGAGTTTTCGCAGTTCTGTACCTCTCAGAAAAATCGTCCTCGACGCGGACGACTTGAAGGTATGTTATCTCGTAATTGGGATTTCGGATACTTCGATAAATAGTTATTTTTTATCAGTTTAAGTCATTAATAAAAGTACATATGTGATTTTTATTATGAATATCTGTCAAGTAGAGATGATCAAGTGGCAAAATGCCATCATGAGCTTTACGATGCGATTGTTTCAGGGATGGAAAGTGTATGATTCTAACCAGAAAAATATCAAGTGCCCCCTCATATGTCTTCCACCGGTCAGTGGTACTGCTGACATCTTTTTTAGACAAATATTAGGTTTGACTGCTAAAGGTTACAGAGTTATATCAGTGAGTTGAATGTATATCGGATATAGAAATCCTGAAATACATAATTATATATGATACTGAAGCGCTAGAGCTGAATATCTCATTTAAAGTGATGATGACCAGAAATTTTTTGTTTACAGGCTGAGGCACCGATATACTGGGGTGTGAAGGATTGGTGCGATGGATTCAGAAAACTGTTGGATTATTTGAAACTAGACAAGGTCCATCTCTTTGGCGCTTCATTAGGTCAGGATATACAAACAAAACACTCGTTCTCTTAGGTAACTTATAACTCGACAAATGAAATATACGATTATGTTCACAGGTGGTTTCCTGGCACAGAAATTTACAGAGATAAATGCGCACTGCCCTAGAGTGGTATCTTTAATTCTATGTAATACTTTCACAGACACATCAGTTTTCAGTTACAATGATTCCGCATCAATGTAAGTCAGATACGCATACATACACACACATACAAAGCTCAATATGTTTTCCATTCTTGCCTATATTTACAGATTTTGGATGTTACCATCTGTGGTACTAAAGAAGATGATAATGAGCAATTTTACAACGGAAAAGGCTGACAGAGAAATTATAGATGCAGTCGATTTTATGGTGGAAAGGGTATGGATTCCTTATTTTCTTCAATTTACAAATAATGACGAATAAACAAAAAATTTCACGAGCAAGATATTTACTCTAAAAATTTGAATTCTATGTACATTGCAATTCTTACTTTGTAGCTGGAGAGCTTATCGCAATCTGAATTGGCTTCCCGTCTGACAATGAACAGTGTAAACAATTATATACAACCTCAAAAAATATGCCATTTACCTGTGACAATAATAGATGTATTTGATGATTATGCTTTAACAAATACAGTCAGAGAGGAAATGTATAAATGCTATCCAGATGCAAAATTGGCACACCTGAAGAGTGGAGGAAATTTCCCATATCTAAGTCGAGCCGCTGATGTTAATTTACATTTACAGGTAAATTTATTGAATTGTATTTATGTGGATATGTCTTTATAGGCAACAAGTATCAGAGGATTTATTTACAGGTTCATCTAAGACAATTCGAAGGCACAGAATATACAGCTTTGAAATCGACTGATAGTTAGCGAAGTATGTTCATGTTAGGTAAAATTAAATATTAATTAATCCCAGTATGCTACATGATCTCTTTCTCTCTTTCTCTTTGTACATAATTTAATAACGTTGTTACTTCCATAAAAAAATCTTCCCACATAAAGTCAAAATATTGCTGTGAAAATAATAACAAAGAACAATACGGAAAAAAATCTTCGGTATACAATTAAAGAGACAGATAATTATATATAATAATATATAATTATATATAAGGCATCATATATAGAATGTCTATATATAAAAATATATAATTATATATAAAGTGGTGATACAGTTATTTATGATTATATATAAATATATATAATCATATACATGTTTTTATATATGGACATATTCGATATATAATTATGTATGAAAAATTTTTTTCCTGAGGAATATAAAAATTCTTATGAGCTCAATTCCTATTAAAAAATAGAGTTACACGAATGAAAATACGTTCTCGTGTCAGAAAAAGCACATGCTATGCATGTTATTAAATAAGGATGCTCTGCATTAATCGTATGTAGATGTTAAGAGTATGATGAAAGCTTGCGCCTTTTACATAAACTCGAGTTTGTGATTCCTAATTATATTTGTATAACATGTATCGTAAGTGCACTATTATGAAGAACAAAACATTATACAGCGTTGTTACTTAATATATTATAGAACGTATCTTAGTTCTTTAAAATATAAACATTTATATTTTGTTATATTTATATTTTCGTCTGTAAGAAGTGTGTCCTTTCAATTATCCATTATCACAAACTCGAATACTTTAATAATTCACTATATGTCGATATTAATAAAAATAAGAAATATACTTTTATACCGAATTTTAATCTTATACAGTCTGTATTATTATTCCCCTTTAAAATTATAGCATATTTTAAAGCAATGCGATTATGGTATATGAAGTAAAAAGTTGACCGTAGTTTACTAGGTTGCCTGACCGGGAGACCGTATAAGAACTTGCTTGGTATCGATTCCCTCTTGTGTGCTCTCGCGCGTTTCTCTTTTGCCATCTCGGATTACAGGGTCTGTTTTGCCCAGTGTACACGTACGACTTTATCGTTCAGATTTTACCGGTCATAGAAATGTTTCCTTATTTTTTTAATCTAATTTTAATCGTGTGTAGATCATGATTATACGTGATTTGTAAATTTTTCATGTGTAAATGTATCTCGTTCTGTTTTATATTCAATTATACTTGCATTTTCTTAAGAAAATTAAAAAAAATCGAAGAACATAATTGCGTGTAATTTCATTAAAATATGACTATCAATCGTATTCACAATCGTATTAACAAATGCATCAATGTGTTCGATATTTCACATAGAAAAAAATTTAAAGATTAATAACATTAGATCGTGATTGTGATACTTTAATGCGTGCAGATAGATAGTCACATATAGATAAGATTACGGTTATCACTAACTACTGACATTATGCCGTAATAATCTGTCTCTGCCGGTTTAACATAATCTTTCGCGAAGAACGACGTTACGATGTACGTTTCGGAGCTCAGTCTCTCACCTGCACGCGACGCGGATAGCCGCGCTATTTGTTCGCTATATATCGTCGTGACATGTGACGGTAGGGTCAATTTTAGCAGATGTTAAAGATACGTAACGTTCGAATAGATCGCGTCTACTGTAATCCGATTATTTCTTCGGTGACGTTCGTGAAACAGGCCCTTTACAATCGCGAGGCGGCAATCGGATAGCATTATGCCCGAGTTATATGTTTCAGTTTCCAATTTACTTTTCGAAATTCCCAAAAGGATGCAATATCAATGGAGTATATTTGTTATTAAGATACAATCGAGATTATTTTGACAATCTGTGTGCTTTGACGAAATTTACCCATGAACATCACGCAAGAGACTATTTTAAAAAAGGAAATAGCTCGCAGCGATATCCAATCAAGTGAAAGGAATGCCGGCCACAGACTCACCTTAAGAAGAAGTAACTTTATCGCAAGTACTGTTATTTTTATTATCGAACGCGGGCAACTTTGATGTTTCAACTAAATATTTGTCTATTACAATCAAATCATATTTGAGAACTCTCTACTTATAATAAGCGATATATTTGATGTGAGATATTTCGAATGTTAGAAAATCAATCGGAGATTTCCTTTTCTCCGGAGGAATTATTTTTCTCAGTGTTACTACGATTTGCGAATTAGATATTTCCCAGAATCTGATTTATATTATTTTTCTTGCTTTTATAACTTATTACAGCTTTGTTTCATCGCGAACGAAGGAGCGATTTTCTGCAAACGCGACAAACAAGCTGGGATAATATCGTATAATGGATATATAGGGATCATAAAGTTCCTTCCTTCGTCTTGAAAAATACGCGTTTCTAAGAATGGATAATACCAATGAACGAACACCCCTCGTCGAAGGGAGGATAGCGACGTCCACGAAATTGGCCTACGCACTCGGACATATTTTCAACGATTTAGCGGCAGCTATGTGGTTCTCCTACACTTTGATTTATCTTCAACGAGTGGTACTGTTACAGCCTATCGTCGCCGGTGCGCTTTTACTTTTAGGTAAGCGTCACGTCGCAACGTGTGTACCGACAGTATTACCACGTTGGTATTATTAATGTTCAAACGAACTTCATTCTAGGACAAATTGTCGATGCGATTATGACGCCTGTCTTCGGTTTCGTCGTCGATCGTTACTGCAAGAAGAAAAATTGGCACGTCCTCGGTTCCGTCATGGTCACTCTGACTTTCCCCGTGATATTCGGTGGTTTTGTTCGTTCGTTCAATTCGCTCGTTATGTTCTTATACGTAATGAGTATCGCGATCTTTCAAACGGGCTGGGCGGCCGTGCAAATCTCTCATTTATCAATGATTCCCTCGTTAACTAATTCCCTTCTAGATCGAGCCGATTTGACCGCGATAAGGTATGTGAATTATGCAATGCCTTTGAGAACGTGGGAAACGTGTAGCACACACACACACACACACACACACACATAGGGTGTACTTCACTAAACGCTTTTTTTCTTTATCACGGATTCTTCAATCAGTTTTAAATCGTTTTATTTTCACAAAAATATTTGAGATATACTAGCTTTTGGAATTATGAACGGTTAAAAATCAAGAATTCTTTTGAAAAATTAAGCACACTTTAAATCAAATGGATAATAAATTCGTATTCTCCCGCTGGGAGATTGACCGAAGAATCTATATAGTTCGAAGGGAATATGTTTAACACGTTCATTGCCAATCACGCGATATCGCGTGATGCGAGTTCTCACCAGACGGCCGATCACGCGTTGTCGCGTAATAGATATTTAGAGTACATAAATCCTATGTACATAATAATAAAAGCATATAAATAATATATTAACTTATTTTGAGCACAATAAAAACTAAATTAAAAAATAAAAAAAATACGAAATTCCAATTTTCAGCTTGGCAATGAACGTGTTAAAAAAAGTCGAAACATCCCGCAAAGCGATGTATTCCGATTAAATTACACCGAGATGCATTTAATCGCAGATATTCCGCTCAAGTTAGCGCGGCCGTGATAGTTTTCGTGGTCACGTGGATAGTTCTACCAACTAATGGTGACTCGATGGTTCAACTGGATCAACGAGATGATTATAAATTCAGAGTACGTAAGAGAAGGATGACGCGCGCTAAAAACGAAGCCACGATCTATTTTAAGTACTGCTTATATGCTGATACGTTTTATTCCAATTTACAGAACATCGTATTGGTTCTCACAGCTATGGGTTTAATCGCGACAACCTTCTTCCATTTTCTGCTGAAAGCTAATCTCTTGGAACGACCAGAAATTCCCAGGAAAGCAGGGGCCAATGATTCGATCGAAATTACTCCGTCAAATCGTTGGATGTCTAACGAATGGGCACGCATCACGATTTTATTGCGCGTTGCGATGTTGTACGTGGCGAGCAGGTTGTTCATCACTCTCGCCACCGTATATCTGCCATTGTACATAGAAGAGACCGAGGTCGGTGGAAAGCAGGCATTGGCCACCGTGCCGCTTGTTTCCTACGTATCTTCCTTTGTCGCCTCTTTACTACTTAAATACATCAACAGATGTTGCGGAACCAAGGTAACACTTTCTCGCTAACTTTTTCTTCACGGAAAGAAAAGATTGGTTTTAGATTAGTCGTATAACGTGTGGACACATAAAACTTTAATAGCGCAAGCCATTTTAATTGCTGCAGTAGTTAATTCTTTTACTAGTTTACTACTGCGGCAAATTAAAATTGCTTACGCTGCTAAAGTTTCAGGCGTTTAGGTTTTAGGTGTTACAATTAATTTAGCTACCGAAACTGATCTTTCGTTTCTGTGTTAGTATCAAGGAAGAAGAGGGAAATTCCGACGTGAGGTAGACGCGAATATTCAGATGAATGGTGCCGTGAGTTTCTCGTTGAATTTTAGATCTGCTATTTTCTCGGCGCCATCATCGGCACAATCGCCGCCGCCGTTACGGAATTTGTGGAAAGCGATACGACGATTGTGTACGTCATCGCCGTGTTAATTGGCGCGGGCAGCTCTATCACGATGGTCACAGCATTAAGCGTGACCGCCGAATTAATCGGCTCCAGAACGGAACGCAGCGCGCTCGTGTACTCTATCGTTACCTTCCTCGATAAGATCGTCACCGGCGTCGTGGTAATACTCATTGAGAGATGGTGAGTAACGCGCTCTAAAATGCGACTGAACACCGTTTAATAACAGCTCGGCAATCGCCATCCACAAGAGTGTTATCGCAGACAAACGCACCGCGTCGAAAATTTAATTAAATATTATGAGTTTCGAATTAATATCGTGAAGAGCGATTTAAGCAGCGAATTGCTGCACTACCCGTTTACGTTTGCTTTCGTTATTTTTCAGGAGATGCAACGATAAGCAATTTTGCCCTACGTACAATCGGGACACGCTGTCTATAGTATGCGCCTCGTCCATGTTACTGGGATTAATAACTCTGCTATCTGTGTCGCGTTGTTTGACGTAAATGCGGGATCGCCCGAGATACGAAGGAAACGTTATTGTTCCCTACCGCGTTCACTGCCCGAGAATTTTGTATACATATAATCATATACACGCTATCCATGACTCATTCGTGACGCAAGAACATGTTAGTATTTTGCGTATAAATGAGTCTAACTTAAAAAAACTGCCAGCAAACATTAACATTTCATGTCACGACATTAAAAATATGCTTCATGTGTACAGTTGCGCCTTGTTCTTTTACATATGCGCCATCTATCAGTGTCGATAAGCTTCACGATTATCGATAGAGCCAAGAATCCTCCGAAGATAATTGGAGAGTACCAACATTACCGACTGTTGCTTTGCAGTGACTTCAAATTCGCGAACGAAACATGCTATTCGTCATGCAACAATTTTAAACGCTACTTAAGGACCTTGTATCTAAGACTTACAGATTTCTTCTTCGACATGTTCGCGTTCCCCGCTCGGTATTCCTAACAGCCTTTTCCAAAAGATATTCACTTCCTGGGGCGACGTATAACCATATTTCGTCACCACAAACGCGCGGGATTTATTTTCGGCACTCCCGACAATATTTCGCGCGTTGAGTTGCTTTCGGCACTCCCGGCGATTTTATATAACACGCAGCAGAATCTCTTCGATAGGCGAAAACGTAATCCGCGACGATTTGAACTGCGAACGGTCGTCACACGAACATTTCACTTTCGAGTATAATCCGTTCCACGAAATATCCAGCGGCCACTCGATGATATTTTACCGCAGTGAACGCGCGTAACTTGCTTCGGCACTCCTCGAAAATAAATCGTGCGCGAGATTCATCTGTGGCGAGTCGAAATCGCGACGGATAGGAAGCGGTCCTTCGAAATTGATCTGTTGCGTCACGAATCATTCAGGAAACAGCAGTAGGAAACGCAACGGTGGCGATTCTCGAAGTATCAAGCGCGCGAACTTCACTCGGTACTTCCGACTGTCCACTCCCCGACATGTTCAATACCGATGACATTTTACGGCGATATTACACCGCGACACACGCACTTGTAATATTTTCGACATTTCCGACGACAATTTCGCGCGAATGGGCAGGTCAAAAATGTAAAGGGCGCCGGACGACGATGCACTCCCCAGGGGGTTATGGCGCTAGGAATGTTCGAGATTTTGTTCGGTTCTTTTAGACTACCCGTCTTTCAAGGTACTGTTGACGATATCTGTCATAACAAACACACGGCATTTACCTTTGGCACCTCCGACGGTGATTCGAGCGCGAGACTCACCTTCGACGAGCCGCAATCGCGGAAAATACGGAACGGTTTTTCACACTCGAACTTTCGGGATCCGTTCCGTTAATTTACTGTGAAATTCACAGCGATTGAGATCCTCGAATGTATCGATACTGACGTAACACCAATCACGATAGCTCCGATCCAAACCAATCCAATCAGGTCTGTCCTTTTCAATTACACCATATTGCACTTTCTGTGACGTAGTGTCGTTTTAAAGTGAAACAAATATGCAATATAAATTTGACGAAAGTGAGAGAGCGGAAGAGAAGATTGCACGGAAACGCAGTTAAAAGAAGCAGATCTCGAGATCGGTGCGGTTTTAGAGTCGCGGTCCGAAACACGAAAAATGTTCGAAGTAGTCCTGATACCCGAAAGAAAGTGACGTCACAGGCAACCCGCGGCAGTTTCATTTCGTTTCGCGACGGTTAGGAGACGGATCGCGACCGCTCCGTTTCTCAGCATCCTTTTACTCGTTGAAAGCTTTTTCGTGTATGAGCGAATGTCGGGAGTGCCTCGTTAAGTGCCGGGTGATTAACGCGTCTATCAGACCGCGCGAGTGTGGTTAAACGCGATGTCTCTCGATACTTGTGACCGGCGGGTTATGTCGCGTCGGAAAAAACATGGCGCCGTACGAATAAAATGGTGTAGATGCATTCGTTTGACGGAACAAATGCTTCGAGATTCAGTGCTCACGTCACGCTTTCGTTCCTCGGTAAGCTTGCTTTCGCTGTAAACAACGACGAGGCATGGTTAAAGATCGTCGCTCGTCGATAAGATGGTAATCCTGCAACTACCACGTATAGGGCTAAATGTAGAGAGGGGAAGAGAGCGCGAGAAAGACAGAAAAAGAATTCCATAGATCTTGGTACACCATTAGATGTATGTATACATCGAGACGTATGTTCTGAAGAATGATATGTCATAAAATTAATATCGCATCATAGACCAGCCACCCTAACATCACAAATTCGACCTTTAATACTGAGGGTCGATTGTGTCTCTCTCTCTCTCCTTCTCTCCGTCGGTTTTTCTCATCACTCGTATTCTCGTTCATCTCACGTGAATAAATACGCGCGATTAATTATACGCAAAGTGAGAACACGGTATCCCTGCGACACCATGTGACGTCATTACTTCGTCGAGCGACTTCACGCGAGATACATCGCATTTTCGCCATGGCGAAAGTTACCTAATCAAGCTAGAACTTACTTTTGTAAAACTATGTTTTGACACAACCGACCTTCCTCCCCTCCTGTGTCATCGGTCCCCTATTGATGTCGCGCGAAAGTACGATTTTGACGTTGCGCCCGTCACTTCGGAGCGTCCAATTCAGATGTCGCCCCCTGTACGGTTCGTCCGCAAAATCGCAGACATTTCGCGCGAAAGACATCGCGTAACGCCGTGGCTACGGTGGCGTATGAGAGGGTACGATGACCCGCTCGTTCGCGCGTTATGTGCTCGCTCGTCGCGATTGCGTCGTAGTACGTCAAAGCAGATATTCGCTTTATCGCTCGTACAAAGCGGCCGGGAAGGTGGGAGAGCGTAGACGGGCGCTGAGCCACCGCGCAGACTCTTATTTTGCCCGGCTGGCGAGGGGTGGCCGGGGACGGACGCGCGTTTACGGGGCATGGCGTGGTGCGCGTTCTAGTAAACAAGTTGTGTGCGAGTCGCGCGGGGAATCTGCGCCCCGAGTTAATCGCGATATTTATTCTCCGGCGTGGCCGTCCCGTCGCGCGCCACGACGACGCGTCGCGTTACCGTTGCTGTCGCCGCCCGTTTGAAAAAACTTTCGTTATTCTCAATACGAAGGTTAGGATAATAAACGGATTAGCTCGGGACAACAGTGAGCTGACTGCCTACCGTGTCCCGTGTGCTATGAGTACGTGTGCCCGCGAGTGTGAGTGTTGCTCGTGTCTGCGGAGGAAAGTGATCACGCTGTTCACCGGTCCCGGATCTCTAACGAGGCGACGACTTTCGGTCGTGGCCGAGGAGCGAGGGAGTTGACGCGTGTGGCGATGACTTCGGCACACGTCTCCTTGGAATCCCCGCCTGGACGCCGCGTTTCGGTGAGTACACACTTCCACCGTCCGTGCGCTTTCTCCTACTTCGTTTTTTCGTCGCGCGCGCGACATCGCCGTCTTCGTCATCGCGGCTCGTCTCTTTTGTCTATGACGTGTTCCCGTAGCGATTCCGGCTATCATACCGCGAGAAGTGTCGTCACGCGCGCGCGACATTGATTCTGCTCCGAAAAAGATCTCGTCTCCCGCGTAACACCTCCGGACGGATGGTTTTGTCCGCGGGAATCTCTCTCCCACACATACATACTCTCTCTGTTTATTTCCCGTCCTTCCAAATCACTCAGACCGTGCCTTTCGTCCTCAATCGAGGAGAAACGGCCGATCGGGCGGGTGGGAGCGAGAGGGGGAGAGGAAGAAAGGATAGGGAAAAGGTGCGCGCGGATAGCACGGTCGAAATGTTTTCGGCGCAATGTGTCGCTCCTTGGGCGTTGCTCCTCTCGCGACTCGACTCCGTGGCTCGCAAAAAAAGTGTTTTTCCACGAAACGCGCGTGCTTTCACCGGCGGTGCTCGCGCGCGGCGTGGCGCGCCGCAGACCGTGCGCGGGTATCAATGGCCTCCGAGGCCGCCGTGAAAATTACTCGTTCGCTCGCTCGCTCGTTCACTTGCTTGCGAGAAGGGCGATTACGAACACGCGGAGCGAAGAGAGGAAGCGGCGTGTTCTCTCTCTACGTAGGAGGCGGCGGCGGCAGCGGTTCCAGAGGAAGGAGGGCATGGAGGCGGTTCGCCGCTGTTTCTACGAATCTCGGTTAGGGTGACGCGATTCGACGACATCGTGTTGTTTCCTAATGGTAAAAGGCCCTCGCGTCGATAGGCAGAGAGAGAGAGAGAGAGATAGATAGATAGAGAGCGCAACGGTTATATCGCGTTCCACGATATTTCTCTCTTTAATCACTGACCTCGCGGTCGCTCGGCTAACCTCGTTCGCCGGCGCGCTGCGTCGCGCCGTCGCGTCGTGAACGAATATCGCGACGACATCACCGAGAAGAGAGAGAGGGACCGTGTGGACCGCGAATTCGGCTCAGCTCGTCCCACGGCTCAATTGGAGCTTGCACCCAAAAGTGTGCTCTTACCGGGGAGGATTCTCGCGCTCCACCGAAATATAATTATACTGGAAGCGGCAATGAGCGTACGAAAGCGTGGCAGAGAGGTGAACAATTTAGGGCATTCTCTGTCGTACGCATATGTCGTCGCTCTCTATAGAAAGAGATAGGTTTAGGTACAAGTGAGAGATAAGTAGCCCTAATCCTAAGTCACTATTTGTAAATCAATATTTGTCGTTTTCCGCCGATTGGCGGTTACACGGCAGTGCCTCTGAAATATATATCTCAGAGATATGTTTGTGTCGCGTTCTCTCTTATACATTATTATAAATGTATGAAGTTGTTATTTGCTCTTTATTACCTCGCGGATCTCTTTCGCGCGCGAGCATCGATGTTATGGCACGCATTTTGCGCGCAGCAAACCGACCGACTTATTATCTCATTTGTCCTCATTCGCGGCCCCGAGATTGCCTCGTTGAAGAGCGCCACAAACGCGCGTTTTCTCATTTTCCCGGCTTTTCTCTCTCGGAGAAACAGCCCGCGTTTTTCGCGCGGCCGGATCACACGTTGGAAAAATTTGTCGCCGCGACCATCCGATGCTCGCACAAGTCTCCGTTATTTCCAACGTTACGCTTGTAAACGCTGCGAATTTCATTGAAACTACGCGTATTCATCCTCGCAAGCGGATCGCAATTCGATGAAACGCGGTTTCGCTCGCCTTGAGGTCCACGTTGCGAACGCGGCGCACCGCAGCCGAAAATGGGCGCCGTTCCTTTCCGCGATTATTTCCGAGTCGGCGAACGGTCTACGAAGACGGAGGAGAGAGTATCGATCGAACGTTCTAGTCGTTGACTTCTGATAAGGAACTCGATTTGATTGATAGCGACAACATATTCGATACCGCTGGCTATTGAATTAAAAATAAAGGATAGGCTGTACGCAAGATGTACAATAAAAATATGCGCGTGTATCTGTGTACACAATGTATACGCGTATATGTATACGTATATATCTGCGCTGGAGACACGGGGAACGTTACGAAAGGAGAAAAAAAAGAAATCGCCAATCCGTCACGCAATTCATTTTTAAGAGATTCGAGAGATATTGACACGTGCGAGATAACCGTTGAATGCCGCGGGTATCTATATCGATTACATACGGAACCCCGAGAGATCAGAGTCTCCGGCGGCGCGTTATTTCGCCGCTTTGTAGTTTAAATGCCTTCTCATTAAGCGCAGATAAAGTAATGCGGAACTGTGCGAATAACGATGACATTTACGACATCATAGACGTTGGGCCAAAGTTGCACGTCGCTTTAGCTGAGATGCGGAAGCAGCGTAAGAGCGTCTGCAAGGCGTTTAGCCTTGAGAATATTCGAAAAATGTATTGGTTATTGACGGCCGACATTAACGACAGGTAATAACGCTGCGGCATATTGCGTAACTCTTCCGTGCGTTTTACTACACCCTATGAGCGTTGAAAGAAACGCGCATCCTCGAGCGTCGTGGCAAATCACAAAAGGGTCGCCGGGATCCTGTTCCTTCCTTTATCGACCCTTTTCGGGCACTTTGCATTTGACAGAGGCGTCTACTCTCTCGATGGCACTAACGATACAAAGCTGCAAAGCCTCACGGTATCGAGCACCGCGCGCTTTGAAATAATCGATATTTCATTATGCCAGTGTCGTCGTTTGTGTATCCGGGCGCGTGGAAGTTATGGAAATTATCGAAAAAATAAAAAAAAATGAAGAACCGGGTGGTTCGTTAGAACTTCAACGAACACACAACGGGGGACCTCCGTTCGACCTGAATTGTTTATGAAATAATTGTGTCGCCGACCGGGACAATATTAATCCGCAGAAGCGGATCCGTAGAAATGACGCCCGGCGGAGTCCGCTCGCCGCGTCGTGTATCGTAATTGGATAGCTTGTTCGCTCCCCGTGCGAGAGAGTGCGACGCCAACGATGGCACGGAATGTCACCGCTGTTGCGCTATTAACGCGTACCAAGGGCGTGCGCCCAACAGAACGACTGCTCGGCATTGTTACGTTAAGGGGAAACCGGCTCCGGATATACCGCGTCGACGGTGTTCACGGTGCTTCACAACGCGTACGACGAAGTCGGTCGATCGAAGCTTTGCGGAGGGAAAATCGACCCTGCAGCATTTTCCCTCTCTCTCTCTCTCTTTCATTAATGCGCATCTCCACCCTTACGTATAAAGCACAAGACGCAGGTCGAAGACACAAGATTAGTGAATGCAAAGGGCGGCCGATTGTTGTGTTGGGTTTGCAACCTGTGTCCTGTGAGCTACATAGACCGAGCTTAATAGCGTCGTGTCTTATGCGCATCGGTGATTCTTCGGGATTGTTAACGAGCCACGTCGGTAAATCCTTAAAAGCACATATTTCGCGTGGCGCGGCACATTCTCGCTCGTTCGCAAAAACAGCAAGGCCGACGTCTGCCGCTTACGTTGCTGTAATCTTCTACGTATTTTCCGTACTGTAACGCAAAACCAACGACGACGTGTCGTCATTGCTATTTGTCGTTGCCACTGTCGTAAATAACCATTTTTCTTATCACAGCTGGACTTTATATATCTGACCTTCTTTGCTTCTCTACGAAGTTGCACCTTCGAACGCGTGAAAATAGGTGCGCGCGCGCGCGCGCAATTATTCACGGAAATATTTGCAATTACGCGCGCAATTATCCCGACAGAAGACAACGCGTCGGGCGTACGCGAACAGAGCGTGACTTAGGGTTACTTCGAGATCGGATCTTAACTCGCTCGCTAATTCGTTAATTGAGTTGGATTGCTCTCGAGTACACGTCAATTGTGTCACCTACGATGCGGCGGTCTGTGTTCTGAGAAATTACGCAAGCAATCCTCATTCCATAATGATTACGCGTAATTGCACATATATGCGCAAATTACATTGAATAATAAGACTATTAAGAGATCGCTATTAGTCGCACGTAACATTATTCAAATTCACGTTATATATGTAATCTGACGTAATTCGAGAAAAAAAGTCAATTCCAGGTACTGAAGACATATCGGTTTAATGTCTGGACCTCTCGAGGCGGTAGCGTATAATTCAGCGAGGACGAGAATAAAAGTGTATAATTTTAGATTGCCTGAAAAGTAGGTATTTAGAACAGCACGTCCTCGTCCGAACCTATGTCGACGTGTTCATCCTTATCGCGACTAATCTACGTTAACTCGTTAGGTCGAATATGGTTAACCCGTTTTGCCTTTATCGGGAATACGGCTCGGTTTCTCCATAGCGCCCGAACAGTTCGCCGAGTTGGAAATTCGCGGCCTGCGCCATTGTCATAAAAGACGTTTTAACGAGCGGCGGCGCGAGGATGTTTTCAAATATCAATTCGCCCACACCGCTAAATCAGCGTTTTCACGCAACAACGATTCCGCGTTCGTGCCGCGCCGGTTCGCTCTCGCCTGTCTCTGTCTGCCTGCCTGCTTGCCTGCCTGCCTACCTTTGCCTGCCTGTCTGCCTACTTACCTCGCGTGTGCTCGCATCTCTCGATCGCCCCGCGTGCGTTTTACCTAGATCCCGGTGTATAAACCACATTCCATGCATCGCATACCGGGTGTCTCGGGAGCGCGCGACAAGCCCTTCGGATTTTGGGCTGTAGAGCGCGGCGATGACGAAAGGCCACGACGGTAAAGCAGAGAGGTCAACCTTTCATCGAAGCCGTCGTTAAATATGCATACTGCGCCTGTGTCGTGCACGTGTGCTTATGTAAGTTGGGGTGTGCGGGGTATACAAATACCTTTCCAAGAACTATATTTCACTCAAACAGCATGTTATGCACCTCGGGAACACCGCGCGGTCCCGAAATCGTCCGTACGCTCTCCTGCGAACTCCACGCCTTCGTATTCTTACAGCACAGTTTCAGCTCGATTGTTGACACCGTGCTTTTTATCATT